ATCCTATCCTACAATGACACATCCACTTGAATTTACTGCAGTAGTATTATGTGTGTTTGTGGTTGTGTTAGACAGAGGGAAAGTCCTAGTTAAGGTTAGGTGAAGATCATGGTCTGGCTTAATAAAGAAAAACTCCACAGTGATTAGAGTATGTGCCTCACATCATCCTTGCCCAGCCTTATCTAAAGTGCTTTTGCTGCTTTAATATATACACTGATGGGACTGTAAACATTTGTGGTTTACTGATGTAAAACACAAACTCTGGCACCACAGCCAAGCACTTTGTATACCATCCACCCCAACCATCACAAGGATTTAAGAAAACAATTTAGTACTATATAAATCTAATGTTTAATATTTTAATTTAGCAGACATGATAGCAAAACAATATATTTATGGCAAACAACAAAATCACACAGTCAGAAAATCATGCAGCACTGATGAACTTTAGCTCAGTAAAATCTTAACCCCAGAATAAAATGTCTATCTATCTATCTAGTTTGGCCTTTGCTCTCTGGAATAAGGAAAATTTAAAACATATTCCCCTCATCTCACTAAAAATATAATCTGCCTTCCCTTAAGGTAAAATTAAAAATTACATAACCATCACCCCTTTCCTGACCCTCTTCTCCCCATTAATCATTTTTGTAAAGTCCCTAAATCCTAAAGCTTGTACACATGTAGATGTAACCTCACTTCATTACAACCATCATCACCGGTGTATTTGTTATTAATACATGATTTACAAAAACACTCCAACATGATGTAAACATCCTGCAAGTATCCACAGATTTCTACAGCGTGACGATACTTTAAAATATTATCTTTTCCTGTGTGTTTGTTGTGTTTGAGACAGATTTTCACAGTGTGCTCTGTTCAGGTTCTGCACCATGACTGCATAATACCATGGGAGGGAATCTGTGACTTCTCCACAAATTAATAAAGCATCAACATACATGCTGCACCACCACAGTCTGAAGGAAATCAGATTTTTGCTGAAACATGATGTTTAAAGCCTGTGTTCTTGCCTCTGTCACCACTTCAGTTAATGGCTGTGCTCTATTATCACTGCCCACACACACACGCTTTTCATTTGCTGCAAAGAGAGACTCCCTATGAAATTTAACAAAATTTTGACTGTATAGTTCAAAATTCATGTGGTTGCTGACCCCCCCACCCACCACCACCGCTTGTCTTACTGGAATGTCTTTTATTTTTACTTCCCATTCAGTTCAAAGGGTGAATACGGATAATATTGATCATACCCAATGCATTCATGAACGATTTGATCTGTAAATAGTGCGGCCAAGTCCCCTGAGGATTACTGAATAAAATACTGACCACTTAACAAGACCTTCAAATGGAGTTTCAGGTTTCATACTCACACAGCTATTGATCGTTGCTGCAGTGAATTAGAAACATTTTGATAAGGCGATGGCACAATTATGTGACAACAGCACGCTGTCAATACTATTCACACTATTTTTAGTATATTTATATAAATAGTCTTGGTTTGAAAAGCCTCAACAAATGTTTTTGTGTGTTTGTGTAGTTTCTCCACCATCTAATGCCAAAATATAATCAGATATGTTTTAGTTTTTTCCTCTAATACACATTAAATACTACAGCTATAAAACACATCTAGCCATAACAGTGGCAGCTTACTGCAAATACAAGTGAGACATTTCAATCAATAGAAGATAATAAATCTGTGTATTAACAAGGATTCATTAAAATGCAATCAATCATGCACGGTCTTCTTGTCCTAGGTATTCATTAGAAATTCAAATATGCATCATCGTCACAGCAACTGTGTGCAAAAACCCAGCATCAAGCTCGCTTGAAATGGTCTGCACTCTGATTTCCCTGCCATTAACTGTGATGGCTTTGGGGAGGCAGCGTAATGCTTCCAAAGGTTTCCATTGGGCTGATGAGTGATGCAAGCAATCATGCTGCTTGTACAGACTAATCATGACTGATTCTCCCAGAGGGGAGAAAAGAAAACATAAATGCAACCACAGCAACAGCAGCAGTTTGTCAGTGCCGTCCAGACCTTTTGCTTCAGAACTCTAAACTGTGTACAGAAAAAAATTACACTAATCATAGAAGACACCCACACTCATACATTATAGTACTTTGAGTTCTCTTCATTAAGGCGATAGATAGTCCTCTACTGTGACCCTGTGCATCATCACAGCTCCTGCAGCGGAAGCAGGAGTCATACACATTCTCCCACCAGGCTGTCGACATTAAACTTAGAGAATTTAGTTTCTGTTGTGTAAGTCATTATACAGGGTGAGATGTCCCACTTGGACTATTGTTGAGACTGAGTGCTATGAGCACAGCCGTGTAGGTGCTAGATAAGTGCCGAGACCAGAAATTACCGCCGAGGCCTCTGGAGGTGTCGTGAGCTGAATTCAGTGAGACATACACGGGAGGTGAAGGGAGGTGTTTGTTCGATAAACCGTGTAACTGTGTAGGCTAGAGAGTCCAACTGCAGACCCCAAGTCTGTGAGCTCATGGGGAGAGAAAAACACTCAGGTTTCTTTGATAAAGACTTAAAGTAGTGTTAATATATTCTGTGTCAGGTAAAAAAAAAGCTACATTCTGTTTTGTTGTACACACAACAATTACAACTGTTACTTGCGGTGTATAGAAGCTTGCAGGAGAAGCTAACAATTCTATTAGCGTTAACAGACTGTAACATAAATGCTCCTTTAAAATAAAACCAAACATAGCGCCCCTAGCTATTTTTCAGGTGACACACAATGACACATAAAATCGATCTTACATAGCTTGAAGCATCTGAATCTGTGAACTTGATGTACAAGTCTAGTTGTGTGTGGCTCTGAGAAGCTGTGGTTTGACACAGTAGTGTTTTGATGTAAATACTCAGGTCAGCATAATAACACACTCACACTGACAAAACTGAAATGCTCATAATTACTTTTAGTGGCCAAGTAAGTTACACACGCAAGGAATTTGTCTCCAGTACAGAAAGGAGGCAACCATCTGCAGCACCAGTTCACACACACCACAGGTGGTGCTGTCCTGACAGATACAGTTAATAAAATTGATAATGGGTGTGCTAGATTTACAGTTTACAATTACAGCTAGATACACAGATCAAGCAGTGACAATACTGGTGGCACCTAGGTGGTGGAGGGCCCCAAGATCCAATTTTGCTTAGGGATAAACAACAAGACCAAGAATCTACAGTCAAGCTATGGCTACATGCTCACATTGACAATGCTGATGATGGCACTAGATTAAAAGCCCACTAAAGGGACTAGGACACATCGTCTGTGATCATTTCTGTAGTACAACATTTTGTGCCAATCCATCTTGTAGGCCTATAGGCTATGGTGAGATATTTTTGAGGGTAAGTGAAAATTTGACATGGCAAAGTCATTAAGTTTCATCCTCTGTTTCAAATTTCATGAGATATTTGTTGATATTTCAGTATGAGACAAAGTGGAACCAACAGACATTGCCATTCATAGAGCCATGACCCGCTAGTTTGGCTAATGACTCAATCTGAGCATGATCTTGAAAAAGATACTCACATGTGGATGGACTGAAATGTAAACAGAAGCTTTAAACAAATATCCCCAATTAGTCAAAGAAATTAGCTCACTGAACTCCCAAAATTAGCCAGATCACGTTGCTGCTCTTCATCTCGAAAACACATGCATGATCTAGAACACTTAAGATTGAGGATTCAGAGCTTTTGTCCAGCCCACTGGCCCTGTTCTCCTGGCTGTCCCTGCTTTGTGCTGCACTGCTGGTTGCTTAAAGGTGGATGTTGCAAAGGTCAGAACTGCAGAGTGATTGCCGCAGTTCTGAACACTACAGACACAGCCACCAGGAGGAGTTTAATATGCCTCTGTTCAAATAAACAGTCATCCTGGAGAAACACTTTCAAAAGGATTGCGCACATGCACATGGATGCGTCAATTTCAGGAGACACACATGATCATATGTACTAATGGTCTCTGTTGTTCGCAGTAATGGGCTATGTGCAAAAAGGCAGCTGTGGAAAATGAGACTTAGCTGCTTGGCAGTAAAAGTCTAACATTTGTATAATTAAGGGTTTGTGTGACATGGTGTGACAGATACTGACCCACTGCAGATGCTGACTCATCAAATCAATATGCTCGCATGTTTGTCTGCCTGCATTACAGATGTAATACCAACACAATTACCCAGATGAAAAGAATGATGTAACAGTTTGTATGATTCACTTCACACATTCATGCTGCTATCAAAACCATCTTAAAGATTTCATCCACCTTGTCAGGCAGGTATCTGACAAGGCAAGGCTATGTTGCTTAGTAAGGTAAATTCATGGAGGTGGCTTGGTGTGAACACGGAGGTTGGGAGAAGGAACATCTCAGAGGTGAAGGTAAGCAGCAATAAGAGGAAGACTTCAGTAAATACAAGCTGAAATGAGCTGCTCCAAAGCTACAACTATGAGAGGTGTTAGGTTTGACATTGTTTGATGAGCTGCTTGGTGCCAGGTGGAACAAGAGCCAGTTACTTTTGGATAAACCCATGGTCAGGTAATAAAGAAAATCAAAAAAGGGAGTGATGAAGAATTATTAAAAGGTAGATCTAATTAAAGCACTTTGACAAATGGTATCCCTTAGGGCAGGGTAAGAACTGGGCAGAAAACCAGTCCCCTCGCATCTTGCTTTGTGCACCTGTGCGCTTTGCCAAAGAAAGCGCGCAGAGACGCACGCACACACAATGGCCACACACACACAGACGGAATGGGAGCGAGCGAGAGAAAGAGAGAGATAAAGCGGAGATAGAGAGAAGAAGAGCAAATCTTTTCTGGGAGCCTCATTACTAATTTACCATCCAGTTTTCGTCCGCTGTTGTGTGCCGCTTTTGGAAATCTCTGACTTCTCCACGCAC